GTATTTTGTTTGTAGGCACTGCAATGAGAAAGGACGCAGATGCAATTTGTGATGTAAATACAGACAACAATGAAAATTTAGCCTTATTTGATGAAGTTGATCACGATTATTATAAGCACCTACCAGTACTGGAAGAATATGTGGTTGATATTATAAAATACACTTCTGGTTTTATTGTTTCTAAAATTAAAAAAAAGAAAAATCTTTGTAAAATATGTGACTTACATTTATCACAAGAAATAGATTTAGATACATCATTATTATTAAAAATAAAATCAAAGGGCAAATTAATAAATTCATCGTCGGATGTAAATAAAATATGTTTGACTGCCGAATACATATTGAGACTTAATACAAGCATTTTACTATCAGATAAAAATATAAAGCAAAAATTATGTGTACAATCATTAAATGAACTTAGTACAGACTCTTCGATATTCAACACACAAACAATGATGGATCATATTCTTACTCAAGACATTTTTGACAACCATAGGATACAATTAATTAAACTTATACTTGAATATTATATAGATTTAAGGATGCACCACTATGTAAAATTACATACGCAACAAATCACAGGGAAAAACATAAGGAGAAATTATACAAAACTAATATTATTTAAAAATCAATAGCTGATAATAATATATCCAATTTTATTATTATTAATTAGGTATTCATTTATTTTAACTAATTTAAAAAGACTGGCAATTTATTTTGAATATTTTTTAATAGTTTAACTATTAACTTTACTACTAATTATTAATTAATAATAAACATTTTAGTTAAATAACTCGAATTTATTGAATTGGTAATAAGTTGAAATCTGTATAATGTAATATGACATAGATTATTATCTTTTGATAAGAAATACGAATAAATGGTTTGAGATAAATATGCGAATAGTAGCTAGAGGCGCATGCGCGATAGAGGTCATATTAATGGCGACTCGTCGCTAACATGTACATCATCGATGTTATATGTAATCTATAGGTCATGGCTCTATCCATTGTATATGATCTAAGGCACGGACCAAGGGGTGGCCATATCATTCTAAAAGTGAAGCGAAAACGGGGTACTTGCAGTGCAACCATCATATGGAAAATAAATTGTTGTAAATATACTAACACATTATTTTATTTGGAATAATAAAAATTAATTTTAAAATAAGAAGAACAAATTTTACAAATGATGATTTTAGGCTAGACTCGCGTTACTTACAATTTTACAAAATTTAAAATACAGTTAAAAATTATAATTATAATTAAAATTATAATTTTTAATGCTAATCAAACATTAATCATTTATTATCAGTTATCACCATAGACCATAGAGTAATAAAATATAATGTCGATTATCTATTTAATTTCATGGTCGAAAACGCTATCTAGTGTTCACTAGAGTTGTAAGAGGGGTACAATGGCGTTCAATTTTGCTTCGATCTGATAATCATAATATCTGCCTAATGCCGCCTCTATAGTTTTATTACTCTATGGCACGGACTATTTTGTATTTAGATTTTTGGTGGTATATCGAAACCATAGACATATTAATATGTCTATGATCGAAACCATAAATTAAAAATTAAATTGAATGTTTCATCTACGAATTTAAATATATTAATTTAATTCGTGGTTTCATCTAGATAGTGAAATTTGGAATCATTGATAAAGGATTGTTAAATTCAATTATTTTCATGAACCATGATTACCTACATGACAGTATGAGCACAAAACAATAGTATGAACTATGAGACATCACGAGTCATGTTAAAACAATAAAATAATTTATTGAGTGGATTCAGATTTCACTGATTTCAGACATGAATAATACAGACATACAGTTTATATAATATGTATCATGTATAGATATTAGATGAAGTGTACATAATAAATTGATAGGTATTATAATTTAAGCATGAACGCATATTGCCATAATTTTACAAATTATAATTGTGTTAATACTTAATGCCTCATAGTTCAAATTAGTTCAAATTAGTACTCTAATTTAAAAACCATACCTTAAAAATATAAAAAGTATGCTTAGTCGAATTGGAATTTTACAAAGCTGGGCAGTAACTAGTTAAAAAGTTAAAAGTTACTTTTTAAGATAACTTTTAACCTAGTTAAAAAAAAATTAGAATGTAGAAAATAACTTAGTTAGTAACTAAGTTATTTCTTTTTATAAATAATTGTAACTTAACTTATAGTTATTTTGTTAAAATTAAAGTTATTTGTAAAAAGTTATTTACAAAAATTTACCTATTATCATTTTTTTTTTATTGATAAAGGTAGATAAACTTATGAATAATCTTGTATTAGAAAAATTTTTACGAATTCTTAATAAGCGACCAACTCCCGTAGTCAGTGGCGTATTTACGGGGGGGGTCCCCGGGTCTGGACCCCCCCAGAAAAAAATATAATATAATATAATTATTACATCGTAACTCGTATGTGTTTTTTTTATATTATAAACTTGTAGGTACCTAACTAATATTTAGACCCCCCCCCCACAAAAAATTTCAAAATACGCCACTGCCCGTAGTAGTTAGTAGAACGTAAACAATTCTCGCTGTACTCGCTTGATGGTACTAACCAGTGCTGTAAAAGTCAATCTGTATATTTTATTGCCAATAGGCAAAATATGTTTTAATTCTTTGGATACTTTAAATATTTCAGTTAATTTTAAAAAGGTTTTTATTGATATAGGTAGTGATGATGTAAAATATTTAATTCAGTTATAACTCCATCATAACCGCAAATATTAGATTCATTACATCCAGGAGGGAATATTTTCATAGCTTTCTTCAAACCATCTATTGAACAATTGTTTTCCCAATTTCCCATGGAACCTTAAAAATGTTCACAAGGGGTTCTATGATCAACATACAATTTTTTTAATGTTCAGAAGACAAATTTATTAATGTATCGAATACTTTTTTGAATTCCATTCTGTAAAAAGCTTTTATAATGATTGTGCACTGTGTACAAGCATTCGATTATATCTTTTTGGGCTTCAATCTTCTTCGATGATGTCGATTAAAATCTTCTTCTGGGTTAATAATTAATTTTTAGCAAAAATTATAGCACTTTCTATTAAATTATCTACTGCCATACTATTATCACTCATTCTGGTTAAACTGTCATATAGTATACATCAATTACATTTAATTCTGTAGCTTCTAGGTTTTCTGTCAAGATTTTTGTTTTACATATGACATTTTTATAAATGATAAGCAAATTACAAAGTCAAAGCTGAGAATTTTTTTGGAAAGACCTAACGCAAGAGTACATGTTTTTTTATCCATAGATTTTAAGTCTGACATATTTTGTAATGCATCAATAATTTGTTCATATGATATTCAAACAGTTATAATTGATTCAGCCCTTGCAGTCCATCGGGTTTTTGATAGATTCACTTGTTCAACAAATGTATTCAATTGATGCGCTTGGCATGAATGAATGGAATTCTGTGACCAATAATATCTGATAATTTATGTTCAGTACCATTTATTTTACATGACATGCTACTGGCAAAATCATATGATTGAAATGCCATATCATATTTATATTTACATCATTTAAATATTTTTTATTACCTATTTGTAGTTATTAAATATTATTTACTATTATATTAGGTCATAATAGGTATAATAATTTATATTTGAATTTTGAAATAATCATAAATTATAATAAAATCATAATTGCTAATTTGCCGACTAAAATGAACCATGTGTCATAAGTGTGGGAGGGGTGTGACTTCCCTCCCACTAAAACAGGCCCTGCATGGTCCACGTCCCACGACAATCTAAACGTCTATGCCTTCAAAACTATGGCTATCTGGGTCAGCACTTAATATCTTATTAGTGTCTTCATCTTGTATTTACTTGTATGTATTACTGCTTGCGAAAACGAAGGTGACAAGTGACGACTGAAGTCAGAATTTGGAGTCCAGGTTGTTTTAAAGTTATAAATTATAGCCAATTAAATGTATAGTATTTTCATACATACTTGGAGTGGTAAATTAAAATCTAAAACATCCCTACGGTTATTACTTATGTATTAGTAACTGAGTTACACCAAAAAACAAATTCGATTATGAATAAAATTTGCATTGTTTTTTTCTTTCCAATATTCAAACAAACTCACATTTTCAAAACTTAAGTAAAAATACAATAAATAAATTTGCATTTCAATTAGGTAAGTGCCAAGCGATGGAAGTTAAAACATTTGAAGAATTTGCCAAAAAAAACAACTTTATTAAAACCATTGTTATACCACTTAATTCAAGGTTGATATAAAGTATAGTCCTGGTAACTTATAAGATTTCCTTCTAAAAACTATAAAAATTTAAGGAATTTCTTTAAAAGGATTTAAAATTTGAATTTTTAAGCTATTGGAAAGGCATTTGTACATTAAATATTAACACTAAACTTTATTCCTATATATTATATAATAATTTTCAATACCAAAGAACCTGTCTCAATGGCAAGGTGCAAACTGACAAGTAGGAATTGCCAAAATTTGCAAGTTCTCTCGCCAGACCGATTATAAGATAATCAATGTTGAACCTATTCACACCATTTTATATCAATACTAAAATTAAAGTGAGAAAATATATTATATTAATATATCAAGCAATGTTTTGACAGTAATTAGTTCAACCCACCGTATTAATAAAGATATATTTTAATGTCCTCAGAAATACAGGCGATCTTGGTGTGGAATCAACTATTTTATACAATTATTTCTCATTGGATTCAAATTCAATATATCCAAGTGATGGATACATCACTCACAACCCCTTAATACTTCACAGTTTCCCAGTTATATTATAAACAGAAACAGAACATTCTAAATATATTCAGCACATTTTAGAAGAATTCTAGGTTCAGCTAGTTATCAAAAATCAATTGCAATTATTATAACATTAAAACATGATTTCACCGTTTAAATTTGTTTTTATTCATACAAAATATTAAAATACACAATACTATGTATTTAAGACCTAGGCCTCTCCTTCTTTTCTTTGTATAAAGCAAGTAATGAAACATTTGCTACTTTGACAACCTTGAAACGAACCCCTGTAAGTAAAATAATAATAAACGAAGGTTCATAGAATTATAAACATTAATGGCAATAAATGTCTTACCGGGAATATCTCCCACAGCGTGACCCTTTCGACCGAATCCAGCTACTAATACTTCGTCATTTTCTTCAATATAATTTAAACAACCATCTCTAGGTACGAAAGCAGTGATTTTCTTTCCATTCTTGATAAGTTGTACACGGACACACTTACGGATGGCAGAGTTGGGCTGTTTGGCTTCAACTCCACTGTAATTAATCAATTTGTTCAAATAATATACTGATTTCATTAAATTTAATTATCTGACAAAATATATGCCTTACACTTTTTCTAAAACAATTCCCTTGGCGTGAGAAGCTCCTCCGAAAGGATTGGCCTTCCATCTTGTTCCCAAATGTGCCTTTTTGTAGTCCTTGTCGGCCCACTTTTGTACACGACGATGGTTGACATGTTTACGAGCCGTACGAATACCACGAGGTTTACCTATAACATAGATATAATTATTAGATTAATATATACTACAACGGCTAAAACGATTATCAAAAGAATGAACTTGAACACGAATAATATTATTATACAGACGAGTTTAATATCTGCTAACTCGTGTGTATTTGTGTACTAACATTATTCACATAGTGTACAAAATAATATAATCGGTCAAATTTTTAGACTAATGCCGATTCGCATTTGACAAATTATTGACGTTAACAACCACATGGTCGATAATTTTTTTTTTCAATGTTTCAAATTATTAACACAAAGAACACTTACCCATGATGTATTACAATTTCAAAATATGAGTTGACACAACAAAAATTGAAAAACCACGAAATGACCACGAAGTTTGTGGCACGAACGCACTCAAAATGTACAAGACCGAAATGACAGAGATCAGAAATTACGTGAGAGACGATCCAAAAAGTCTGTGGTTATAGGCTTGTAGTCGACTTGGTGTACAGTATCACCAACTTATTGAACTAAATATGCTTTATGGTGATACTGTATTTCTCTAAATTCTAACCGCGGTCACTTTCCAAAATCATTAATCAACCACACTACCACAGAAAAGATAAATTTTTGGTAACTTGTTGATAAGGGTTTATTGTTAATTGCTATCATAGATGATATAATTATTAATTGATAAGCATTATACATATTATTCTAATATTTATGGCTCATAAAAATAAAAAATTTAATATAAGGTCTATATAGACCTAATCGCGCCATATCGGTCTATAGCTTACGATTCACAATTCGAATAGACATGTCCACCATTAAACGCAAGTGGTGAATAGTCGGACAATCACTTTGGAAGTCTACGGTAATTGAAATTATAATTTTTACGTCTGTTAAACAATAATGAACATTATAAAGTCAGACAACAGACTTGTGTTGAAGTCTTCTATACAAGAATCATTGAAGCACTCGTGTATAGAATATTGTGTGGAAAAGCGCGAAAAATGTTCTAAAACAGAATGCGTCATCATTCTGATGTCACTTCTAATTGCAGTATATTCATATTTAGTAAATTCTACAGTAATATGTTCAAAGACTGTTTTCATTATTGCAATTATCGTCTTGTTCATTTTTGGGTTACGGTTTAGTTTTAAAGTTTGCAATGAATCATTACTCATAACAGCTCCTATTGGATTACAGTTGACCACAACTTATATAACTGGACATCAAAGGGTGTTTTCATTACCTTGGCAAAGTATTACTGATGTACTTATTGTTGACGTTATTCACGCTCAAAAAGTATTATACTATTTGGCAATTAAAACACCCCAAAATGGGATAGTAACATTGTTTCAGAAAAGTTCACCAAGGTTACATTTTTTAGAAATAATATACAAGGATGTTTACAAGCTATTAGAAAACAACAGATGAAGTGACTTGTGGATATCAAACTTAATATATTTTTATTTTGTAACATTATAAAATTGATTGTAAGTCCATTTTGGAAAAACACGTTTGTACAAATTTAAACATACAGTATCTTGAGATTTTACTTGACCGTCAAATCCACATTTCATGTGTCCATGAGTACCTAAGATTAGAAATTGTGACATTTAATACAACTTGAAGTAATTTTTAAACATGTTTATATCCAATTAATATTTTATTTTAAAATATAGTTAAATAAAGTTTTAAGTTTTAAATCATACCTAAAGGTTCTTTAATATGTCCTCTCCTTCCATATTTAGTGCGTAGCTCAACTGGTCTAAACCAATCAATATCTTCTCGATTGAAAAACATAAACCTAACTACGGCCGAATGTTTATGTACTTTAAATGGATGACCACTCAGAACTGTTCTTTTTACAATTACACGATCTGGATTTACTGACAAGACATTTCCATTTCCAATTATTTGCTAAAAATATAATTAATTAAATTAAACTTAACATGAGTACAATTAATATTAATTAGTATTGTTTGAGAGAAACAAATAATACAACATAAACAATATTATTTGAATACTTACAAATGAACCATCTTTGCAGTGCTTCATTGCTATAACTGAAGAAGGTGGATAGACAATAGGTGCAAACATTGTAGCAACAACTATTGAATCTTGGTGAAAAAATCTTTCATACTAAAATAATAAGAGAAAATAATAGAAATAACACAATACAATTTTTAATTTAATTTACTTTAAATTTATTTCCATTTGTATGCTGACTAAATATAGGCTCTGCAGTAAATCGACGAAAACCACATTGGAATATAAGTTCCGATTTAGATTTAATTGGTTCATCAAAATGTACAGTAGATGGTCGTTTCAAAACTACATTTAGCACAGACATTTTTTGTTCATGCGGCATAAGACCAAACAGTACAATAGGATTACGGGCATCTCTTGAATGAAACATTTTAGCCGGTATATTTTTCACATAAACTGTAATGTACCAATCTGGCTAAAAATGGTTTTTTTAAATTAATTATTCTGATTAAAAAAAAAAAGAATCCATATTATAATATTTACCATGGCACCAGTTATGTTTTCCAAATTTTTAAATATCCTTTTCCTTGTTCTATCAAAATTTTCAAACTGAAATATTCTAGCATACTCAGCAGGTAAATTTTCTTTAACGTCCCACGGCGATGTGCGGAATGATTGTAAACCTCTATACTTCTGAAAGCGAATTCTAGCTGGCATATCATTAGGTGTATCTACTTCATCGGGAAACAATTGATCAGCTTTTGCTTCTAAAATAAAATGTATATAATATGTATTATTATTTATTTATAATTTTAGTCAGTGGTATAAACTATTAAGTTATAAAAGCGTGCACTTTTAATAAAAATCTATTATTTAACAGAATATAATTTAACACTTTAAATATAAATTCTTTAATATAATTGGTATGTATAATCTGCCAAATAGTAATACCTACTTGGGTTAAGTGTTTAATTTTACATTTAATAATAATGTACATAATGTGATGTTGATTGGATAAACTACAATTACTATTTTGATTTTTAATAGTTATAACCAGGACTTGTAATTTCATGCCCTAAAAAATGCCTAAATTAGCATGCACTTATACACTAAAAAGTGGAAATATATGCATTGAAATATGACTTAAAAAGTTCAGAAATATGCATTTATAAGAACTAAAAATTCACTGAATAAAAATTTAAGAAATCATAAGAAATTGCTAGAAATATCCATTTATGTTTTTAATTATTTCACGTTACAACAATTCCCCTACATTTTATACAGTCAAAATATAAATTATTGAATTTTTCATCAAATTTTGATTTTTTCATGGTATTTTAATAAAAATGCTCATGAATATAATAGTATCATTAGGGGAGTTTATAAACCATGAACAAAATGCCCAATAAAATAGAAAAACTCATAAATATGCCAAATGGGCAAATCATCTTAATATGAAAAATTAAACTTTACATACTTAACATGCCATATGCTAATATAATATTATATACATACTTAACTATGGTACCTTGAAATGGATTTCTCTGTCACCTAGCATTAAATACAATTTAGCATGATTGATATTCAAATGCATGAACATACAAGCTCTGGTTATAACAATATAATATTTTAATGACATTATATCATATTTATTTTAAAATAAAATCGCAAACCTTTAATTTTTGTTAGTATTTTTTCTTCTTCATTTATATCAAACTGCAAATCATATTTATCAGCGTCAATCGGAGCTTCAGAAGCAACAGAAGTCATAGACATAGTTTCCATATGGTCATCTATCATACTCTTCATTTCATTATCAGAAGTTTCATCTTCAATTGAATAAAAATCATCAGAGCGTTCATCAGATTCTGAGTTTTCGTCATCTGTTCAAATAAAATAAAAATTAAAAAAAAGTGAGTGCTGTCATGGGACACCTGGTAGAAACAAAGTTTATTTATAGTTTACAAATACATTTTTGTAGAACCATTCAAAATAAAATAATTATTTATAATTAAAAATTAAACATAAAAAAAAGATAGGTACCTACCCGAATACTTATGTTTATTTAAAGCAGAGACTGGAACCTTAATTATTTTATCGGTTTGGGTTAAAGTTTCGGTTCTCAAAAATCTGAAATTTTGGTTTCGATTTCGGTTAATATTGATTTCAACCCTTTTTATTTTATTTTTATCAATTAAGTACTGTATAAATAATCAACATATTAAGAACATATAGTTAATGACAGGTATTTATAATTAAGTGTACCTATTTCAGATGTTAGGTACCTAATATAATATCATTACGATATAATATTTGCACTAAAACTATACAAAATATACTATTATATTCAATAATTTACTAACTGTTTATGGAAGTTACACTATATCATCAAAATGATGACATATTTCCAATTAAAATATAGGTTTAAGATTTGGTTTTGATTGCTAAAGAAATGTATTTCAGGGTTCCGGTCCAATTGTGGTCCCAAGGTTTTCAAAAGGTTTAGGTCCAAAACCTGTCTATTTCGGTACGGTTCCAGTCCCTGATAAACTTTTTTAAAGATTAAATAAATAATTTAGTTTATATATTAAAATAATAAGGTTACTCAAATCCTAATGTATTTCAAAATTTATTAATTTATAAAAAAATGTATTTGATATTCTAAGAATATAATTTGCTATGACATATAAATTGTAATTAAAAAAGTATTTTAAATTTATTTCTAGTCATTAGGTATGCGGACATATTATGGTACTTTTGGTCTAAAATAATTCTTGTATTATGTATATTTAAATGTTTTCTGACCATCTAGCCTATTTTTTAATTAATACATTTTAAAATGATTCATATTTATAATTAACAATGGGTTTATTCATAACCTTTGTTAAATTTTCGTTGATTTAAGTTACTACAAGGTTCTATACGATATAATACATTAATACATTATACGGGGTGAAATTGAGAAAAGTGGATTGAACAATCTCAAGTAGACATAATAACAAATTCAAATCTGTTTTAAAAAGTATTATCTCATTACTAGATAGATCAGTATGATGGAATGAAAATTGGATGTTTTGGGTAAAATAACTGTTTAATATATGAAGGGTACAGGGGAAAAACGGTAGTAGTCCATTTCAGTAAATTTTTCAGTGGAGCAAAAACAAAGATTGGACTATAATCTTTCTTTACCAGTATACCTAATCGTTTTCATTGAACAACTATGGACTGAATGATTTTTTCACTGAATCAATTTCAACTGTCAATACTACTCCTAATTTGCTATCGATATAATATTATTATAAAAAATAGTATATCATTAGGAACATTTTTTCCCGACTAGCCCCGCATCGTGCCATAAAAAACTTTGTTTCAAAAATGTATTATATAAACTATTATTGTAATTTATGAATTTAAATTAATATTTATATATAAATATATACCATGGTCAGATTCTTCATCAGGAATCCAAGCTGATTGATACACAGACATACCCTGAGGTACACGTTTAATCATGCGTTTATTTTTAGATATTGCTTCTTTCATTTCTTCATCAGTCGGCCAAGTTTGTTCAGCATCCATTGGGTCCGGTATATTTTCACAAATCAAATTTTCCTGAAAATCATTGTTTATAGTCATATTTATAATTAAAATATTTTTGAAAAAAAACCACTTACTTGTAATACAGGACTAGCAGTTTCCAAGACTGTAGTTTGAACATCTTTCCCAGAAAAACTCTTGATAAACTCATTAGAGGACAAATCTATTTGTTCCATTTGAAAGTCACCCCACCCAGGAATATGTACTAAAGAATTAACAGAAAGGGTCTGACCTCTCAAAAAACCGCTAACTTTCATAGTACCTACATTATCCTAAAATTAAATTATGAATAGTAAATTTTTTTTTAATATATTCACATTATAAATAAAATATTTTGAATATATATACATCAGAGCTGGGGATAAAAGCCAATTCTTCAGCTAATAAATGTGGACGTCTATCACGGAATGTAATTGACCTCTTTTTTTGTGAACTTATACGTCTAAGAACATTTAGAATGTCTGTTGATGTATCAATTTTGCTGACTTTTTCATCAGGTAGCCAATTTTCTATATCTTTCTGAATGCACTGTTTTGCTTCATTTTGTTTCTATTTAATAAATATGTATAAGTATAAATACCTATACTATATTACTATGTCCAGCGAGAAAACACACTGTGGACCAATAAAAATCAACTCTTCGGTGCATCTCCACGCGGCACCGGTTTCAATAGCAGGGTGACAAGCAGAATCAGAGTGTTTCCTTGCTGGACAAAGTATAGTATAGATTAAGTAAAATATAGGTAGCTACTAACTTTGAGAGGTATTTTTTCGAGGTCTGTAATAGCTACAACGGTTGAAGGAAGACCTTGTGCTAATATACAAGTCATTAGTAAATCAACATCTTG